ATTTGGATTGAATATAAAGCAAAAATATGTTTTCCTATTGTCAAAAATAGTTTCTTAATATTGGCCAGCATTTGTCGATAAAGTTAAGTCGAGAAACGAAATGAAGTTAGTTTTATAATTAATTAAAGGTGATATTTGTTAATATTAATTTGAAAATGAAAAATATAAAATTTATATCGCACAATACATCCTCATTATCATTCCTGATATCTATAGGAACATTCCAAATCAGTGTTAGCTACTGTTGAAACAAACTTATTCTCTAATTTTACAATTATTAAAATACTGATTGATGTTTCATGGATTTGAATTTCTTCTAGGCAAGTAGAGAAGTAGTTCTATAAGATGACTACAAGAAAAAAAGAATAACTTTTTATTGAAGTTTTTAAATGTTGTAACGTTTTCTTAAACACAGACTGAATGATAAAATTATAATTGTATAAACTTAAGAAGGGCTTACTCAGTGGAGGGGGAGTGAGTTCTTCTTTTCTGACTATTACTTCTTTGCAAATGATATTAAATGATTGTAACATATTAGTCTATTTATTTATAATAGGAACAGCTTAAATAAGAAATAATTAACGAAATTTCTCACAAAATAATCAGAGATTGTTTTCAGTCTATCTCACAACTCTCGATCTGCATAACTGTTCTTTAAAAAATAAATAAATAAAAAACATAATTCTTTTTATTTTTTTTTATTCACACCTGTCATAATGGTAATGACAACCAGTGAATGTGAGTTTGATTGGAAAAAATAATGTCATGAAATTCATTACGAGGATCAGTATGTAAGGTTATGTTGCTAAGGTACCAAGGTGCTTTTGTGATTGTCCTGAATGTTTTTGCTTGAAAGGTTTGAAGTTTGTTTAAGTGAGTCTTTTTAGCAGTTCCAAATATTTGTGATGCGTAAGTCCAAATAGGTTTTAGTAAGTAATTGTATGTGTTCAATTTCTGTATAAGTTTTAATTTTGAATTTTTCGAAAGTAGTGAGTTCAGAATTCTTAATCTTTGATTTAGCGTTTTTCGTTTCTTGATTATATGTGGGCCCCAAGTCATTTTTCTGGCAAATGTCAGACCAAGCTAGTGAACGGTGTCTGTCTGTGGAATCTGTGTATTGTCAAGGAAAACTGGAGGGCATGTTTCATGTCGAAGTGTAAATGTGATGTACTGTGATTTTTCTTGATTTAGTCGGATTTTCCAAATTTTGAACCAGTCATGTAATCTTGTTAAATACTGTTGTAGGGTCTGTGAGGCGTATGTTGGATTTTTGTGTCTTGCTAAAATTGCTGTGTCGTCTGCATATGTCGCTGTTGAAATGTTGGGACTGCAAGGTACGTCATGGGTGTATGTGATATAGAGTAGTGGAGCGAGTACTGAACCTTGAGGTACTCCTGCTGAGATAGACCTGATGGAAGATAGTTCTGACTCGTATAAGACCGAGAAAAATCTGTTGGAAAGGAAGGATTGTAGAATTAAATAATATGTAGGTGGGAGTATTGTCTTGAGTTTAAAGAGAAGACCCTGGTGCCAAACTCTGTCAAACGCTTGAGCAACATCCAGAAATACGCCAGTTGCATATACTTTGTGCTCTAGTGCTGTAGATATGTAGTCCGTTACTCTATGTAGTTGGTGTACAGTTTAGTGATGTGCCCTAAATACAAATTGATGGTCAGGTATTATTTTGGTGTTTGTTAGTATATCATAATTATAACACCTTTTTTTTCAAATTCTATCTTTTAATCATTTTTTCAACTGTGATAATGTAAAAGTTTAAAGAAACTTTATTAAGCATGCCAGCTACTGGTGCATTAATACGAGGCTACGCAGCATGTGATTGTATTGCGTAAGGAAAGTAAAATCTTTCTTAGTGTTAGAATCGTAATGTGAATTTGTTTGGCTGGATAATGGACTAATTAGTCCAATCCACAAAATGCTTCCTCTCTTATCGATTCTTCAACTACGAGTTCTTCAACTAGGGGTTCCTGTGGAGGGGTGGCTATCTCTTTATAAATTTGAGTTTTCTAAGAGGAGTGTTGTAATACATGCGAGTGTCTCTTAAATTGAAGGCACAAGAACTGCAATTTCTCATGAAATCCTATTTCTTTAAATACCCTAATTATTAACCCTAAAACCCAAATATTTACATAATGCGAGTATCATATTCTTCCTTTTTGGCGGTACAAATTCCTCACAGAAACGTTTGTATTTCCTCATCCCTCTCTACCAATATAATTTAGGAAGACTTGGGAGTTTTCTAATGCAATTATTGCAGCCTTTTTTATCCCTTATAAGAAATTATATAATTTATTATGAGTTTTCGTTCTCTGATTTATGATATTCGATTATAACTGGTTCCAAAAAAAATAATATTTGCTGACGGGACATAACCAGCGAATAATAACAATATTATTGTTTTGATTGTTTAGTGTTATTTTCGCTTTCTCTGCAAATATTCTAAATTTCTATATTTGTAAATAAAATATTAAATCGACCTAATAACTATTTGATTATTATTTATTAACTAAAAAGCGTACTTTGTTTCATATTTGTTTAACATTCTCTTATAGTTCGGCATTGTAGAGATAGATAGTTCTCATTTAGAACTCTCTAAATTCATTTCGAGAATAATACATATTTCATTATTGTAGAAATTAATAGCTACTAGGATATAAATCAAAAACAAATTCAAACCATAAAGCTTCAAATTTCTAAACATACTTGCGAGCAGCTAATTTGTCAACGTTTCAACAATAAAAGCATCATCCAGATAGAAAACGTACATGCGGAAAGTAATATAAAAATGCATTTACAGGAAAATGCACTTCAAACCAAGACTTTCTAGTTTTCCTCTGATCAAAAGAAATGAGAGGAAAAAAAATAAAAATACCAAAAAATAATTATATAAATATCTGAAAAATAAATAACAAAGTTATAAATACAAATAAAAAGTGTTCCAGCGTATATAAAACATCAATACACAACAAACAAAACTCAGTGGATACATGGCTACTTCTCTAGTTATATAAATATATGTAGCAGAGCAAATAGCGCAAAGAGCTTCTTAAAAACAGAAAAAAATCCAGCCATATAGTCTAAGATTTCTATCATACTGGTAAACATCCCATTATAGTTTTTATACCTTAGAATAGTTGTTTTTGTATTTATTTTTTTAGTCAATTTATCTAACATATTTCTATATAATTATGTTATACGTTTAATTTGTGTTTATATTTTTACTTTCACTTACGTATATATGTAATATATAGTAAGGGTAAGTAATGCGATCGTGAAAATTTTCGAATCTCAGTTTTCAACAGAAATACATGTTTTGAGGTGCCCTGAGTCCAAATAACCAAGTGTCGCAAAATGGTCTGTGTGTCTGTGCGTGTGTTAACAGTCTAGCTCATGAACGAAAAGTAGTGCGAAACTGAAATTTATAAACTGATTATTTAGGGTTCGTATATGAGCCGGATGTGACAGTAACTTTTTCGTTAAAATCGTCTAACCGGAAGTGCCACTTTATATGAACGCTGAAACACATTTTTACAATTTTCTCAAAAACGGCTCCACCAATTTTGATTAAAACTGCTATATCAGTGTAGTATTAAGTTATTTATTAATATCATATAGGTCTTATTCCCGTTTATGTCACTTTACAGGGCTTAAATGCCCATTGTTCATACATGTCTTCCTCTAAAGTATCTTTAATATGGTTTATTTTATAAAAGTTAATCATTTCGCATTATTCGGAGTTACAAAAAAATGCTACATATAACTTTTGAAAGAATTTGATAAGTTAGTAAAGGAGAAAACAAATAAAAAAATGGATATTGTGATAAGGTGGTTCAAAGGTTTTTTAATTTCCTAAAAAATGAAAGAAGTTTCTTCGAAATCGAAGCACTATTATCGCGATATTAAGCAGATGTCGCGATTTTTTTTTCTATCATTCATTCTTGTATCTTTATGTAACCTTCCGTTTCTTTCAGTAAGTGTTTGGTTGGTTTGGTGTGATGTACAGTGTGACTGTGTGAGTTAATATCACAGACCTTAGAACGATTACTAAATATATCGTAATTTTATGATAAGAGAATATTTTTATTTATTAGTTATTTTATTTATGTTCTAACAAATTATTTTTGTTAAATTTATAATTTTTCCTAATTATAATACACATATGTAATGTTTTTAGTTTGATCTGAAGAGTGTGAAACTGTAACGTTATTGCGTTACTTTGTTTGTTCAGTTACTTTCGTTTTTCAGACAACTCTCTTTGTCAGCATTCTTTGTTTAACCACGCGGTATTCATTTCAACCTATATTTGACATGGTGTATTTCATCATCGATACAAATGCAAACTATCGTATATGAAAATATGAAAAATTTTCAATCCTGCACTCTAGCGATTGTAGTTGTAATTCAATATTTTTTAAAGAGCGAATAAAAAATCTTCAAACAATTGTAAAACCTCATATCAGTGTAGAAATTAAAACATCCACGTTGTTTAGGCTGAATTGATAATGATATTACAGTGGTGATTTTCATATTCGATATATTTGTATCTGTGACTCATTTACTATATATAGTGTCTAGTACCTTTTTTTATTTTACAAATATTTTTATCTTGTTTTTTCCTGACCTGATATGGCGAAAGGTTGACGGGTTTAATATTCACCTGTATATTAAAGACTCAAGGCTTTATGGTTTGGAATTTTTTATCCATTTCCTTATTGCGTTATGTCTCCTTTTTAGCACCACTCTTTCAATAATTTTTTCACAGTTTCAATTTCGTTTAGGATCAATTCTATATTGAGAATCGTATTATTCTCAGCAAATGGATAAAACGTGCCGTGAAGCAGCTTTGCTGGAAACTGGAGCGAACTGAAAAGCGAGAGTGAATTGTAAGTGACAAAAAAAAAAAAAAAAAAAGACATCGCATCAAGTCAGGAATTCATGAGGACTGGGACTCTGTGTTGTAGAACTTCACTCTTGTCGAGAACATGGAAGCCAGCTCATCTGTATTCCTCGTGTCACTTCAGCCAGCACGGTTAGGACCGATAAGGCAAGATTCGAAAAATAAATCCGCTTTAATATCCAAGTATTGTTCCGAAGAAGTCATTGGTTGTTTTAAAAACTTGACTTATCCTGACGTAAATATTTAAATGTTTTTTCCTAACCAGGTTTAGCTATTACTGCTGATTATTTAAAGTAATTAGTACCTGCAGCTATTTTAATTTCAATTGGTATTTGATGCTTCCGTTAAGGCCGAAATTCCTTTCTTTTTTTTTATTATTTTAATGGAATTTACAACTGTATTACATAGAAAATACAATAAGTAAATGTGAAATTGGTAACATGACATTGTACAACATGAAGAGAAACTACCCATTGGTAGAACTCAAATTAAAGTTCTATATTAGAAGATCCCGAGGCCATCTTCTTTTCAGACGCCTCGCAGGGTTATCACTGATCGAGGAGGAAGCAAGGTTTGAAACGAGAGGATTCGGATGGTTCTGCAGTTTGTTATGGAAGGACAGGTATCTGGATTGGACCAAATCGGAAACATATGGAACATTAAGGTCTTTATGGATGATTTTATTTGTGACAAAGTAAGGAGCGTTGAGGATTTTAAGAAGGATTTTGGATTGTAAGGATTGGATACGAGAGGAATTCGATGGTTTAGTGGAGCCCCAAAGCTCAATTCCGTAATTCCAAATAGGTCTTATTATTGTCATATATACGAGTCGTTTATAATTGATTGAAAGCTTAGATCGTTTGTCTAGTAAGTGCTGCAGTAGTCGAAAATGTCGTGCGGTTTCTAGTCGTTTCAGTCTGGTATGGGGGTAAATTCCCTCTTAAAATAATTACGAAATGTTGGAAAATTCTTAGCATCAGTCTATAAATGATTTTGTACATTTACCCTCTGTAACTCTTTTGCAGGGCATGTTTTTTATTAGATGTAGTTTATTTCTTCATCGACTCCTTTCAGAAATATTGACATTCACAGAGTATTCTGTCGGGATGATTACATCTAGTTGCGCTGAAAGACGTCAGGGAGAAGATTTATCAGCGGCATCCCTTCCTATCCTGATTTAAGTATACTTTTTTAAGTAAGGAGATCCCTATTCCAGCTTCTTTTGATCCTCCTAAGCGGATATTCCGATTTTACATTTACTCAGGATAAAAAGAAATCTTATGCTTCATCTCCCATTATCTCTAATTATCTCCCATTAAGGAAAGAAACTTGATTAAAAAAAATTGTAATAGAGCAGGTATTATGGAAGAGGGCTAGAGTGAAATACCATAAAGAGATGATTAATGTTTTGATGAAAATGTATCAATTGAGCTAAAACTTCTAAGGAATCGGATGTGACAACTCCGGAAAAAACTTCTTTAAGACCACTTTTTTTTATACTACGAAGTTTCTAACCATATGAATTATGCAATACCTCACAACAGTACTGTCTAACCATTTTAATATTTCTTTGAAATTGAATTGTTGAGGTATTAAAATTGTCTTAAATAATTTACGTCGTATTATTAAAAGTAAAATACTCCTATATTATTTTACACTATCTTAATAATATTATATATTTTTATAAGGTATAAGCTCCTATCATCCTGGTTTGTAATAAATGTCATACATGATGGTCCATAAATGCCATGTTTGGGGCATCGATTCGAAATTCCATGTAGGGTTAGCTAATCGTACCCTCCTTTTCCATAAAATAAATGAAGTCTAAATAAACCTTTCTTAAGGCTTCAAAACTGAGAAAGTGATAAGTCGGGAGATCTAACGGGACATGATGTTTTGAAGATTATACCTGCGATAATTTGAAAAATTTCTAAATGGCCTACAAAATGATTGAAATTCGCTGATATATTTATTTTTATTATATTCAATAATAAACCATTATAGAGAAAATCAATAACAATTATTGGTGCGTTGCACATCAGACAACATTCACTTACCACCCTAGGTTAAGTAGAACTAGGTATTTTCTTACATGAGGCTGTGAAAGTAAACATTATAATCGGTACAACACAATAATTTAAAACAAACGTCTAATTTAGTATATTTATGCTGTTTTTGTCATATTCCTTTCATTTTACAACTATATATTTCACTTGATTATTAAAACTGTCCTTGTCAGAAAATATTAAAATTTTTACGTAACGTGAAGTGAATGAGTTCTCACTGAAAATAAAACGAGGGTAGAGTACCACCAATCCACGGTAGTCATAGTTAAAAAAAAAACAAAAAAAAAAAAAAAACGGCACCATGGAGCGAATGAAAGGAACTGTGAAGAGAAAAAAAATGAATGATTTGACCGCTTAATGGTGCGATTTTTTTTTTTTTTTTAATATCGTTTAGAAACTGGCAAATGAATATTCAGTGATTTGCCTATATCAATCTGGTAAATGATAGAAAATGTAATAAAATTTTAACTTTGTGATGCAATTTTCTAACATCAAACACATTCATCCTTTCAATCTGAAGTCCTTCCAACAATAGTTTATGCTCCATTCTATGTTAACCAACAAAACCCAACACCATGACCTTGATATCCCATTTGTCTTAGACCTTATCCCAGAAAAATTCTCCACATTTCACCAGAACCTTACCTATCATCCAAAATCCTCTTGCACAACCCCTATCCAGCAACACCCATCCCTACAATCCTCCTCGAAGATTGAAGCGGCAGTGGCCCAAAGACCTTTTATGAATAAGTATACATTGGAGTTTTGGTATCGGTCAGATTCTCCACTCAGGCCATGTATGTGTGATTATAGCGCCTCTGATCAGCTTCAACGGGTTCTTAATACCAGTAAAGCGGCTGGGAGAGAGGCGCTGGGATCTTGTAGAGATCTGATTTTCCTTTTACGAGTGGGGAGAAAGTTTTGGCTAGGAGATTTTGAGTGAATGATTTTTTATCTTTTTAGATATTGTATAGAAGCATGTGCGTATGTGAGTAGTTATTTTTATTAGTTTAGTTTATATACATTTACTTTTAGTATTATTGTTTTTCTGTATAATTTATTTGTATTTATTGTTAATAGAGTGTGAATGTGCTCTCTGAACACTATTATAAATGTCCTTAATTGTGACAGATTGTAATATCTCTCAATAAATATGGTTAAAAAAACAAAACCTTGCAATTCCTATTACCGCAGTTGAAAATCAATATTTCATATGTAAGCGAATATAAAAATAGATATCTCCTTCCTATAATATATTTAATTTACTTATTTCTATATTATATTTCATCACTGTCAGTTACATTTTGCAAATTATTCACAACGACCAATTGATTAGTTTATGTATATATTATTATTTTTTCTAAGAAAATGAATTTTTAGGTGTTTTTTTCTTACCCTTATCCGATTTAGATTCACGACCAGTAAAGAATTCAGTTGTTGCTGGATTTAAGCTGTTGCTACGTCCACCCAAGTCACATTCTAAGGTCATTTGCCATGTCTAATTGGCAGACGCCAACACATCCTTTCTCCATCCATCTCTCGCCTCTTCTCGTCTCCCACGTTTCACCAATCTATTTCCCTCGTACTGTCACTGTTATAGATAATATTTATAGTTGTGCGTAATGTTATTACGAACGGAAAACAAAACAGCCTATCAATTACTTAATTATATGCAATAAAAGTTCGTAGCATGAGGAAGACAAACTCGATCCACTGTGTTGCAGGGTAAAGCAACAAACAAATCATTTATATGGTAATTATTTGAAAGCCAGAGGCTGTGTGGAAATATAGGAACAAGGGCAGTCGTATCAGCGTCGTCCGGGTTTAATCGTATTAACTTACTTATAATAACTGTTGTTATTAACAGGTTCCAGTTTATCATAGTAGCTAAATACTATAATAGTTTACCTACCTTAGTTCTAACAACAACATACATAAACTAACATATTGCTTTCACAGATTATATAATTTGGTTGACACCAGTCTTAAACAAAAATATGAGTAAAATAATATCCAACATCCTGTTATAGTTGTTTTCTTTTTTTGTAATTTTTTTTAAGGGGACGTTATCTTGATTGTTTGACCAGAATGAAATTAAGTTATAAATATAAATATATTCTACAATTATGTATATATATTGAACAACTTCGAGTAATCACCATGTGTTCGAGTATCATTCATTCATTCATGCAAATTGAAGTATCACCATATGAAGTAAATATATATGAAATCAGTATTGACCATTAACGGATGTTGTTTTATTATAAAGGAGTACAAACTGTAATAGGCTATGGTATAATCTCATGGCTAAAGGCAAAAAAAAATACATTCATAAATAAATATATGTTTTATAAATAGTTTAAAATATTACATTTATACTTATTTGATAATTCTCAGATTTTACCTGCTGACATATATATACATATATATATTATAATAATAATTTGTATATATAAATATAAGAGAATATATCAATTTAAGTGATGTTATAAGCTACTTAATTGTCAGCAGGTAAAATCTGAGATTAATCAAATAAGTATATATGTAATATTTTAAACTATTTATTCGATATTTATAAAACATATATTTATTTATGAATGTATTATTTTTTTTGCCTTTTGCCATGAGATTATACCGTAGCCTATTACAGTTTATACTCCTTTATAATAAAACAACACTCGTTAATGGTGTTTACTATCATTACAGTTCGTTATTCTAATATTTAATAAAATATGTACTTTGTGTGGCTATTATATATAGATACTAACGCTGTAATTCAATATTGATTTCATATATATTTACTTCATATGGTGATACTTCAATTTGCATGAATGAATGAATGATACTCGAACACATATAATGATTACTCGAAGTTGTTCAATATACACCAATGTGGAAGACAAAGCAGAACTCCAGGAGATCCCAGAGTTTATCTTCCAGTTGTGTCACTGTTTTTATGCATTGTTACTGAACTGGAAGCCAGTGGAGATTGGAAGAGGTCACAGACCCTCACGACTAGACTATTCTTGTACTCCATATTATCTGTCCATTGCCAGAACTCCAATGTACTAATTATGAACTAATTAATAAAAATCGCGCGGACACTACCATTTCAACCTCCGCGGAGGATTATGGGGATAGCTGGGATCTAGATAGGGAGCTCTATTCTCACCTTTGCTGAGGATACAGTAAAACATCTTCACATAGTAATGATGCTTTAGCTTCTGGTGCCCTTGAGAACCATATATTGCACCTTAATAAGTGGTTTTATAAATCGAAAATCGATATTAATGCTTTTAAATCAAAACCACGTCAATTCTTCCACAATATCCGTTTGATGAGTGAGATTCTGGAGATTCTCATTCAAGACCAAGACTAAGACTGGTAAAAAAAAAAGATTTTTCGAATAAAAATTAAGCCAAAATAGTTACTATATGTAAAGAATCGGTACAGTCAATAAACTTTTGCATTTAATTCGGCTCATTTTTCATTCGGGCTTAGTTATGTTTTTCCTATCTAAAAATCTACAGTAACATCTCTATAGTAATAAACTAATAGCTAACTGCAAGACTGTTCCGAGATTCTTGCGCAAGACAAAGACCAAGAACAAGTCAGTCTTTCGTACGCAGTATTCAGTACGCAAGACCAAGACTCATCTTGGTCTCTCATCTGATCAACACTTGTCGTGAAGTTCTATTTTTTTTTTTATTCAGTGATTCTCAATCACTTGTATAAGTGTAACTTGTATAATTTAATATACATTACATTTTAGATGAACTATGGTTCTCTTTAAGAGAGAAATAAAGATTTGACAAAAAAAAAAAAAAAAAACAAGAGTAAAAACCTCGAATTTTCGACGTGTCGAAATAAAAACTAAATCTTATATTGCTCTGAACAGATTCGAATCAGTACGATTTTTAACTGAAAGATCTGAAGAAAGAAGATTTGCGGCTCTGACGATGAGATATTTGCATGGAGCGTGGAGCGTAGTTGTAGGGAGGGTGTATATTGAAGGTGATAAATTATCACCTTAAGTATTAATTTATATCCTATAAATTAATACATAGTCTAATCGTTCCTTTCCCATAAATTAATACATATTTACTTATTATCACTGATAATAAGTAAATATGTACGGAATCAAACTAAAATGCTTTATAGCATCTATCTAGTAATTTAATAGCCAGACCTTGTATATGAAAGTATTTATTCTAATTTGAAATATAACTATGACATTTTTACCATTTTTTCTCTGAAATTTTCTTTGTAATCTTAAAATTGTGTAGTATTAGCACTCTCAATCCATTGAATAAGAATAATTCATTAGATCTGTTGATATTAAATATACAACACGCCAAATACCAGTCATCAAATGAATAATTCTCTTTTGTGTCGCGATTCTCTATGAGAGAATTTTGCATGTCAACGATCCCAATATAATGTTCACAGAGAACAGAATATTTTAATGTATATATAATTGATGTGGTTTCGACACCATACTGCTTGAAATAATTTTAATTTTATTTGTTTAAATATCTCCAAATTATTCAAAAAATATTCTTCTTCTTTGAATTATTGAAGGAAGTTACTCGACTGTTCTACTTATCACGGTTGATAAATAGTCAGGACGCATAGTCATTGTGAATATTTTTGATTTTTGCCAACGTTTCAACCCAAGCATCTGAGTCATCGTCAGGGCCGAAAATTATATAATACAATCAGAAATACAATATTATAAGACAGATAATGCATAATAATTGAAAAATTAGTGATGGATAATATTTCGTTTGTATAACTTAATACATATTTCAGTAATCTATTTATGTATCATCCATCACTATTTTTTCAATTATTAACGATTATCTGTCTTATAATATTGTATCTCTGATTGTATTATAAACAATTTTCAGCCCTGACGATGACCCACATGGGTTGATACATATAAAATATATTCTCAATGACTGTCTTTCATTTTTTTTTTTTTTTTTTTTTAATGTGTTCCTTGAATTACTGAAAGAATGTTGACTGATGTCTTTTCTTGTAGTGAAGTTTTTTTTTAATACAATAAAGATAAATTTATATACAATAAATAAATTTATATTAATACAATAAAGGTAAATATAAACCCTTCACTGTTTTTGTCATTTAGTTGCATACTTAAAATATTTATCTATATTTCCACATATTCTCCCAATTCTACCATATATTCCTTCTTCTTACTATAACACACTACCCCTAGGAAGTCTAATCGTTTCTTCTATAAATCTCTGATGTCCCTGAGCACCCATCTCCATCTTCAACTTCGCTGACGATACAGCAAAACTGTATTTCCATAGCAGTCAGACTTTAGCTTCTATTGTTCTTCAGAACCAGTCATTTGACGTTGATGGTTGAGTGATTATAAATGGAAATTTAATGTTAACACTTTTGAATTAAGCCATATCAATTTTTTCTCTAAGGACAGATCCATATCCACCTTTAACCATCGACAACAACCTCTTTGCTACAAAATGCAATCTACGGTACCTTAGAAAAAAACCTACTTAAAACATGCATAAAAAATTAAAAAGTTGACATAATGGATAAAAACAACTCTCACATCTTCTGGACTTCAGCTTGTCACTTATTCTACGAAACATGCAACAGCATCTATTAATCTATATACTAACACCAATATGCTACACTAAGACCAATTCCACAATACAGTTATTGGTCACAATACGAGGTTAAAAAAAAATTAACAAAATACAAATAATATAATCCTAAATTATTCGAATAATTGTTAAAGCGTCAAGGTATATTTCATCTACATCCACCACATATTCGTAAAATTTTCGTGATATCTCTTCAGTTCACAATACCTTAAATCCACTCGATTCATTATTAACGACCTCCTAATTACCTAATCGATGGAGATTAAAAAGAAAATGAACAAAAGATTTGATCTTTCATCAAAACTCACTCAATGATTGATAAATCAAGGCCGTTATAAAAAAAAAATCACAGAAACTAATTTAACATCAAATTTACTTAATGTGCTCATGCGCAGGTGCAAGTGACTTAAAAGAAATTATTAAATAACATTTTTAAACTACTTCACAGCTCGTGTTCTAATTCTTAACTAGTTTTTAACAAAAGAGTAAGAAAAAATTTACTCTCTCAAAAGAAAGCATTTTTAATTTCTTCCGAAGAATTCCTGGAAAAGATATTATTCTATGAAACTTCTGCCTTACATTACATCTTTTTTTATTCCTTTTTCTTCTGTCTTCCATGTATTTCATTTCATTTTGACAATATCACATCCTTCCTCTTGTTGGTTCCAGGTCTGAAGTGATCGACTTTTCGGCACCGTACTACTTCTCCGGAGTTTCCTTCCTGGCGGCGCCAAGCCAGCGGACAGACATTCCCCTCCTGGCTTTCCTACTACCCTTCTCACCGGAACTTTGGGTAGCCATATTTACCTCGCTCAATGTGACTGCTGTAGCTGTCGCTATCTACGAATGGTTGTCTCCTTTCGGGCTCAACCCTTGGGGTCGCCAGAGAACTAAGAACTTCAGGTGAGTTCTATGCTGTATTATGTAATTAAATTTTCTCATCAGTTGATTGTTTGCAGGTGCTGAGAATTAGTACTAGAAGTTTCTTAGTGGCTTCTAATCTTCACTATAATTATATTAGATAAATTAATCAAAATATCACCAATTTCAAAGATTAATCAAATGCATTCATAGCAATCCTCGTGTTTAAAGCAAGATTGAATCAACTTTAATTGAACTATCTGACCCGAGATGATCACTTCAGTCCGATAAAAATACCAATATACAGTCTATCACGTGGTCATTTTGTCTCATACCCACTAGAAATGCTCCAAACAACCACCCCACAAGAAGTTATAATTAATACTATGAAATCTTACTATATTACACAAAACACCTTCTAAAAATAATTAATTAATATTTAAACAGACCTGATGATATACATATCGCTGCTGTTGGTGCACAAGATCTTATCACACAAAGGGACATTTTGTAGTCTGCAAATACAATAACTAGTCCACTACAATGGAAAATAGCAGCGAAAAATAAAATATGGAATTATACTAATAAACCATAATGAAATAATAAGTTTTTATGCTCTCCTGGAAAAAACCTTAATTTTTACATAAGACTTTTTTCATATGAATAATGTTACTGAAATAGATTGTGAAAACACATTAGGTGTTGAAAGTTGTGAGATGGGTTTTTCTAATCCGATTAGGCCTGACCTGGCTTGTAGTAGAACGGATAAGTTGGTAAAACATCCAAGTCCTGGAGGACTTAGAAGCTAATCTAAGTTGGTTTTATAAAAATCTTAACTCTAATCTCAAGATCTAAGGCTCCGTGATAAACTTCCAGAGTTCAGGTCTCAGGAACCGATAATTTTTAACTGAGAAAAAATTAAATGTTCCTACTTTAACTTGCTATCCCTAATTTAATTTTCTTCTCTTTCATTAACCACGCGTTCCTTTTACTACTAAAACGTTTAACCACCTCGCAGAATATTGTGTTAAACAAGTTCTAAAGGACTTATAATAAGGAATACACAACGACATGTTTTAAAAACGTTATCTATAAGTTATTAAAAATAATTGTATGTTTATTTATACTTTCTGAATGAATTGAATGCAAGGTGAAATTGTTAGAGTTTCTTATGTCATGTTACCCTTAATTCAGTCAGGGACCCTTTCTTTCTGGGAATTTTACATTTCCTAGAAACGTACTTTTTAATTTTTCCAATTAGCAATTGAATCAATTAGTATTGCAAATAATCAATACACATAACGCTAGGTTCTTATATCCGTCTCACATAAATTTAATCTTATTTGAAACATTACGCCCAAGTAATGTTTTTACAACCCTTCCGTTCCCAACAATCTCTATATTGCTCAATTCCAATGCCAGGTAAATACACCTCCCGAGTTCCTCCGACATTGAGTATTTATATTAATAGTAATAAATGTCTCAGCGAACCCGAATATTCATGGCTGATACCATCACCACTTGCATACTTAAGTCCTTTCTTAACATTTTTGGGACGATGCCACCTATTTTTCCGAAGTCAACGCCATGATGTATAGTGGTGACAAAATCCTAATGAGCAGCAGTTTTCTCTTAAAGATTACGATGGCTTATGCTGCTTCATAGAGTACACAGTGGTGAAGAAGTGACTTCCCTTATGCGGATTTGGCTCGATATCCGTTCACGAGGTCCGTGCGTTTCATCGATGACTACAATATAGTCCTATAAGCAAGGAGTTATGATGACTGTCATTATGGGTTGAGTTAAAGCTACCAATGCTTGCACCTCTTCGATCTTAATTATCAGACGCTTGCAATTTAGGTTGCTAATGAAGCAACCTGTTTTTCTAGTCTACCTTGTTCTCTACTGTTGTCACTACCCGATCTTAGCTCTTGTACCATAGTGGTGGTGTAGCGTTTGGGGAGAACTTTCGTCCTCGTGTTTGCGGTAAAGTGCAGGAAGTATTATATATATTTTTCTTAATTTCGTGATACAAATAAAGTTTGATGTCACTTGGATGGTGTTGGATATGATTCTGGGTTTCACCGCGAACCGTCTGAATCATGTTCCTTCGATCATTTGATTATTTCACCACTGTAAAATGATAATGTATTTATATATTAATCACACCTTTTATATTGTAAGGTTCAGCTTTCTGTTTTCTCAACAGAAACACAAAGCTTATTTTAATGAAGAATTTAATATATTTTTATTTTTTAATTCTTTATTGTTTCCTTAAATAGTTTTAAGTGTCTTATCATAGTGTTAATTGTTTTTATAAACAATGTTTACCTTATATTTTCTTTACATTATTTCTTTTTTTCTATTGATTTTATTTTGGCCAGATATAATCTTTTAATTTTGTTATTCTCAAGGGACTGTGTCCCAGAATAAGCTGATTTTCTATCTATCTATCTAATTTTTATGCATTGACAAGAAATTTTAATTTTTGCTATCAGTATTGAAGTACAGATAATTGAGTTTTATACGAGGTAGTTGAATGCGAGTGAAAAATTGTACGGAATAAGTTTAATATGGTCCTTTTATATATTTATAATTTTCTAGAAAAAAACGAAATCGAAATCATGGCCAAGAATAATTAACTTCTGTTTCATTTTTTAGAAATTCAAATCATTCTGATTTCCTTTAAAAACTATATTTTGATTTTGGAAAATGTGAAACTTTTTTTGTTTTTATTTATTTATATTTTATGCAATTTGCACCTGCGCGGCTGCGCATCTAGCAAATTTGTTGTATTTATACTGTCTTAGTATATTTACTTGATTTTGTATTTATTGATATAGCAGGTCTATTGGCCATTTTCTTCTTAATTTGCGTTTTTCAAGTGACAGAGAGCAGGAGGTAGAAAAAAACAGAACTTAGATTTTATTTTTCATCTAATTTTTTTCTAGAATTTTTGCGCCCTTTTATTTACTAAGGAACTGTAAATTCCTCTCTAAATTAAAAAAAAAAATAATGAGTTTTTTAGTATTGCCTATCTATAAGGTTAAATTTATATGCTAACATAACGATGGAAATTCCATTAAATTAAAAAGGTTTTGTAAGACTAGAATTTGTTTTAAATACTGTTTGAAAAATGCGGTAAAATCATTTCCTATATTTCAATTTTTGAATTCTTAAACATTTTAATCGATATTTTCTCACTTATTAAGTTCTTATAAACATTTAAAATAAAAAACCAAATTAAAAAAAAAAAGCTTACTACATTGCATACTGAAGGGTTTAAACTCTAACTGGCGAATAAATATGTAAAATACATAAATCCAGTTACCAAGTTATTTATATTCTTAGGCAATAACTTCGTTCGTTTTATTCACTATAGATTTTTTAACTTGGATAAATAAAAGATCTAAGATAAAGATAATATCTTCTAAAGGAAAGAATAAAGTGTCACGCAGCGGAGATTATTATGGCGTATGAAAACAAAGTAGAATGCGGACAGCACAGCTTCTCTGGCACTCTACCAACTCCTAAGTGACTCTGACAAATAAGTTGTGGTTCCTTACGAATTGGAATTTATGAAGAAAACAATGTCAGAATTTCGTAGGCTTGAACTTCGTTCTTCGTCGGGTTTATTGGAAAAGATATGCTTTTGTCACATAATCACGACACATTAAAAGAAATCTCATTTATTAACCGAATTTCATCTTTAATATTATTTGATTCCTCGCTGGTGTTAAATACCAGTGAAGTGTTTAAGGGAGAAGCGCAGAGATCTCGTGTAGATTTCCATGTATTACTTAATTTCATTAAATCATAACATAAGATTGGGGACACCTCCGAACGAATCTACAGAGTTGTTCTGGACTGTAGAGTAACCTTTTATAAATAGGTTGTTATATTTTAATCTTGTGTCCGAGATGAAAGCAATATTAGGTTGAACTAGGGCAAGAAGGGTTTCAATTTCTCCAAATAAATAAATAAAAATCTGGAATTGAAAGAATATATAATATTTCGGACGGACTAGATGAAATTTATTTCAATTACTTTCAGTATATAACAACTGCATATTTTCCATCATGAGATTTTTGTGACCAAACCCACCAATTAAATTAGGTAAATGTGTTATGCCCATGATTATATAAAAGATTACTAAATTTCCTACAAAAGGAAAAAAAAAAATCATCGAAATCGGCCAATTGTTTGCAATGATACAGCTTATTGAAATTCGTAAACACGTTGGTTTCAAACAAAAATGATTATTTAAATTAATTTTTGTTTCCTTTGTCGATTATATTTATCGATAAAGTGATATTTTCTTTTCTTATTAACTTGGCATTTGATAACAATTTGCTCTGCGAATTTTTCCCACGGGCCTACTAGTAAATAATAATTTAATATAGTGTGGTAAATGAATGCTGAAGCTATATAAATACGTTTTAGTAGTTGAACGAAATAAAATTAATATCATTTTTTTTTCACTTAATAAAAACATGTCTCACGAGAATTCACTTCATACGAGAATTCAGTAAGCCGTAGTTTCATTTTTCTTGATAGCAGGAAGGAATAACTGTCTCTAATGCATACTTTAAATAAAGAATAAAATTTTCAATTATCATACCTCTTAACAGAGAAATATGTAGTATAATATTTTTATATAAGAAATCTTTTATAGTACAATATTTATTTTATAATTTCGAAGTATCATTTTAAAAAACTATGACTCCTAATATAAACTAATTCCAAGTTCTCAAACTAGCAATTGCCTTAAGTATGCGGAATGCTAATATATTTTATAATAAACATTGTATAATGTTTGATCTATTCCTCCTTCCTAAACACTAGGTTCTTATATATATATATATATATATATATATATATATATATATATATATATATATATATAACTTAAGCCTCTATGAACTAAAATAATTTAAAAAAAAAAGGAAAATATTTGAGATAGAACACTCACGACTTCAGAATCAATGCTTTTTCATAAAATAATCCTTCTTATATACATTCGGCATATTGTTTATATTATAGGAT